CACTCTTAATAAATAATTATAGCAAAGAGATTTCGTCATGGGATTGCACATGCATTTCGGTTTTCACATGTTGTGTGATTACCTGATGGTTTCTAAAAGCTTTATGTTTTGAAATTTGTTCTCTGGATTGTAATATGATGTTATTTCACTACTATAAAGAAATACCAAATTTAAGATTTATCAATTTATTCTCTTATCATAGTTTTATTTTTATTTAGTTCATAAATCATCTTTGATAATTTATTGAGTATTTTTCATGGCTATGATTCTAGTCATATTTTTGCTTTTTGTTATCAGCTATCAATTGGGCAAACCATCTACTGAGGACAGATTTTTGTTTTTTGACCATCTCATCGAAGCTGCTTTGTCAGTCTTGTTAGAGGGCATAACAAAAAAGTCTCAAGAATCAGTATCTGTTCCTGAACTTCCCAAGGCTCCAAAAGTGGCAAGTGGTCCAAAGGTCTCGGAGTTAAAAGCCAAGGTAGAAGCTGAGCAGCATGCGCTTCGCCGATTGCGGATGTGCCTCAGAGATGTTTGCAATAGGTTAGATAATCCTTACTGTGTCCCTGTCCCTTTGTGATGATTGGTGTATCTTCTTACTGGTTACTTGCATTTGCCCGTGGTGTACAAAGAGAGAATTTAATGAAGAATTTGGAAACTGTGTACCATTGTAATTTTTTGTAATACTTCCTCATCTGTAAGTAGTATCCGTTTTACTTGAATTAAGAAATTGAGGCTTCTGTTTAGTCAGGCCTTTTTTTTTTTAATGTTGGATTGCCTCATGTTATTCGGAATAGGGGTCATTTGGCTCATGGCATGAGAATGATTCATTATATATATATATAATTTATCTCTACTTATATACTTTTTTTTTCCTATGCTGCAGACTTTTATATGATAAGAGGTTTGGTGCTTTCCACTATCCTGTGTCGGAGGAGGATGCTCCAAACTATCGCACAATCATTCAGAACCCTATTGATGTGGCTAAGCTGCTGCAGAATGTAGACTCTGGGCAGTATATTACATGTTCTTCATTCCTGCAAGATGTTGATCTTATAGTTTCCAACGCAAAGGTTTGTGGTGCTTGCTGTAGTTTTTACCTGTTAATTTATAATAATTGCAATGACATCTGATAGACTGAGAGGACTTAGGAGGTTGGCCATTTCATTTTGTTCTGTTTTTGTAATCATGACATGTTATTCTGTTTTATGTTGCCTTCTGTTCTTTGATGTCTCGTGACGTGGCATTTCTTTTTCCTTAGGTTTAACTTTTAAGAAGCATGGTGTCTCATGGTAGTTCATTTGCACTTCTTTCGAGTTTGGATTTTATTCCCCTTCTTCTACCAACGTACAATGTTCGAAAAATCGCTAGGTGGTAGGCGAGTGGCAGGCAGGGGCCTAGCGCCTAGAGGAGTAACTGGGGCCTTGGAGCGGCGCCTAGGCGTTTCTTTTTTTATTATATTTATTTTGTATTATAAATTATAATTTATACCAAAGTCATGCAAAACATAAAAACTGGGAATATTTGAAAAACATCATGCTCTCGCTCTTGATTTTTGATTTTCTGATTTCTATGTTCAAGAATTTGTTGTGCAAAGAAAGCTCAAAATTGTTGTTGTCATTGTGTTTGTTTTGTAAAATTGTATCATGTGTCAGTTTTATGTATTCTGCTATCTTGAATTCAGGCTTACAATGGAGATGATTATAATGGTGCTAGGATTGTTAGCAGAGCTCATGAGCTTCGAGACGCAGTAAGTTAGACTGTTATTGTTATTATTTATTTATTTTATTTGAGGCTTTTGGCTTTTGCATTTCTTATATGTATTATTTTTCTCCTCAGGTACATGGGATGCTGTCACAAATGGACCCTGCACTAGTTGCATATTGTGACAAGATTGCAGCTGAAGGTGGTCCAGAACATATTCCAGATGGTTTAGGGGTATCTACTTTCCCCGTGATACCTGTTGTACAGCTGGGAACTGTCACTAGAGCGAGTGCTCGACTTCGTAATGTCCAGCTGGAGGTGCCTGTGGATCAAAATTATGAGGCTTGCAGACGGCCAAAGAGGATTGTCGAGCCCCAGCTGGAGGTGCCAGTGGATCAAAATTATGAGGCTTTGAAACAGCCAAAGAGGAATGCTGAGCCCCAGCTGGAGGTACATGTGGATGAAAATTATGAGGTTTTGAAATGGCCAAACAGGAATGTTGAGCCCGCACATACAGGTAACTCTGAGCCTTTCCATGGCTATATACATGTTTTATTTTTGCAATATTCAATTTACTGTCTAGCGTCTAGAGTTGAGTGACTTTAGGACTGCTCTTGGTTGCCTCCTGTAATTTTGAAATATTTATTCCTGAGAGCCCTCATAAGAAAGAAGGCAAAAGGCAAAAGAGATTGGACGATTGGAGAAATGAAGGCTAATCAATGCCGCTGGTGTAGTCCAATGTCACATGCTCTAAATGTTGAAGTACAAATATGTATCTTTCCTTTTAAGTGTCTTCTAGCATTCCCAAAGTCTTTCTGAAGCCTTATTTTGTAGTTTGATATGCTTTTTAGTTGAACACGGTTTTCTATGGGTGTTTGAATAAGATCACAATATCACTTCTTGATGTTAACTTTCCTGGTGATGATCAGCTTCAACTGCAGAGGACAAGTCATGGCTTCAGGATTCAATACTGTCCAAGTCATCGCAGGAACCTGAGACAAATGAAACTAATCCTGAAGTGCCAGAATCCTCCCATCAGCATGAAACTTCTGGAGAAATTTCTGGCCATAATTCTCATGTGATTGGATCCCAAGACATCACCATGTCAGATGGTGAGATGACAAACCAAATAGAGTCTGTGAGGCGACTCTTTGTGGAAAGGACTGAAAACTATGACATTCCACAGCTAGAGAGGCTTTATACTAGAATTATGAAGGGCATTTTTGACATCAAGCACAAAGGTGATATAGATGGCACCAAGCCTTCAATTTTGAGGTATTTATTGAAATTTGCCGAGGGTGAAGCAAATTTATGATTTCTTAAAAACAAAGTATAAATCCTTTAGTCAGATGTAAAGTCGGGATCTTCTTTTTATTGCAGAGTTGTTGAGTTATATAGATCTCCCTATCTCTCTCATACTTTGTGTGTATACATCTGATCTCCACATGGCGTGCTGACGTGTTGTGACGAATCCATCCGTTGTGTTTTAATTATTAATTTCCTTATGTTATAACATGTAAAGATTCGTAATATGACTTGGGCATGGCCGCATAATGTATTAGATACACAATTTTTTTTGCCAAATACGAGGTAAAGTCGCTCTTGTAGACGCCATCGTAATTGAGGGTATAGTATCCATATGAGGATCCTACTTGTACTAGGTTATCAATGCCGTTCAAGAAAATCAAATCGGTTGGGATTGTGCCTAATCAACCAGGTTTAAAACCTTTCGACCAAAACACCAGGTTTAAAACCAAACAATGTCGAGAACAGTTTCTTGCCAAAAAGGTAAGACAAATATTCGGTTACTTCTCTTTCCTTGTAGTATATCTCTCTTTTTGTCTCCCCGCACTTAATTTCGCTCACTCTCTTAAACTTCGTTTCTTTATTTTATTAAGTCACATTTTGTCGAATCTGTCAATTCTTCTTTAACGGAAAACTTAAACGTGGTAATTAGTTGGTCAGGGTAGTGAGCATGTCCCTTTGCACTTAAGTTTAAGCCCCCCTTCCCATAAATTAGATTAAAATTTATAGTAGTTTACTTTAGATTAAAATTAGATAAATTCAGAGTAGTTTACTTGTCCCTTTGCCATTTCATATGGAGGTAAAATTGAAAATCAATTTTTTTAAAAAAATGCTTGGTAAACTTGGACATTTGTTTGGCGTGAGACATGCAAGAACATGTCTTGGGGGCTTTGGTTTAAACATTTTTAACATGTCTTGGGGGCTTTGGTTTAAACATTTTTACTTTCTCCTTCACCAGATCCATCCATCGGTTTCCCTGTGAGGAATTTCAAGGCGCAACCAAACCTCACGAGGAAGGAGAACCTCGATTCTCTATATGATTTCTTTGATCACATAAAATTAAACTCGACTGCATAAAAGATATTTCCATTTCCATGATGCCAGTCACGAATATATTCAGAATTCAAACGTCGAAAATGCATAAAAGAACCGTTGATATAAAGGTTTTTTTTGTTATTGTTAGTGTTGTTTCTATCATAACCAACGCTAATTGAAGATAAATATCAAAGAACAAAATGACAGGCTACTTTTGCTAAAGGGCTGAAGAGATTGTGGTGCAAATCCTATATATCATGGTATACTCTGATCGATAGTTCCACCTTCGTTGCCAATGCCATGCACGCTAATCTCTTCACTTGCCTACTTTTCAAGCCTTCTGTCCTTTCTCAAGAACAAGATTAGTTATTGTGATTAGATGAACTTATTAGTTCCATTACGGAATGAATCACATAAATTTCGACTATAAGATGAAAAAAGGGGAGGAGGTGAAAGGGGAAGGGAGGATACGGGGGCTGCGGTCAGGTGGGAGAGGAGATGTGGAGGAAAAGGAAATGCGAAAGATTTAATCATCTTTTTACTAGGGATTTTAAATAAAGAATAAGAAACTTAAAATGAAACTGAGTGATGTTGCATGTCCAAAATCCCGTCACTTAAGGTTTTTTTTTTTTTTTTTTTTTGGGTCTTAGAAGGGAGATTCGAACTTGAGACCGTGATTCTAAATCTGAAATTTTATATCAAATACTTGAAACCTATCAAAATTGAGACCTGTGTGATATAAACTCACATGGTAACTCACAAGTAATAATATATAGAAAGGTAGGGCACCCAAATATAAAGAGATGAGCTCATCGAAAACCTATTTGAGAGGGACAAATTAATCCATAGCTCTCTGATTCATACACCAAAGTTAACAATCCACATGCCACAGCTAGGAGGCAAAGGATTTGTTATAAAAGTTAGCATCAGTTAATACATACGTTTACAAAATAGCTCAAAAGGGAATATATTATATGTATATGTCTTAATACATGATGCATTAGCATTTTCTGGTATATATTTGTTAGGATACTTGAGGATGCGTTTACACTTTTTAGTATATATTTGATGATGCATTGATATTTTTCCCTCTATTTCCTTTTGACTTTACTGAAGCCAAACAAAAACCTGAACTAACAATCTTCAGCAAAATGCAGTTTCTATCTTTCCAACAAGGAACCTAGAACTGCTGGGCCTGGCCTGCCATACTTCGCAATTTTACCAGTATTTGAGCTGCAGCCGATTCTCTTGCCTCACGAGGATTGGAACACAGGTCACCCCCACTTGAACAATCAAAATCCATCCCTTTTACTGTCACCTCAGCTTGGAATCCACCTTTCAAACACAAATAAATTACCATTAGTTTTAACTCTGCATTGCAGTCGATTAATCTACTAATGCAGGATACGTTGTTGATTTCAACGATGATCTTCTAGAGGTTACATTACCAGGCAAGTTCTCCAAAAGGCAGAACTAAAACCCTACTGCAGAATAACCAGTTTCCAGAATTGTTATGCAAGTTCTAATCAAATCAACAGCTTTACACCAAAAACACAGCTGTGAGACAAGAAGGAAGACAAGCAAGACCCACCAACACTTAATAATGTCTCAATCTTTAGGTTTACGAATTTCAGTACAATGCTGAAAGAGGTTAAAAGAAGGGATCTAGTGGATAGAAGCTACTAAGGATTATTTTGTAAAACATTTGATGGATCATGAAAGTCAAAGATGACAATCCCAGCACATTCTAAACCTTTGGAAGATTAAATTGGCGTGGCTCTGCCACATTATTGCCCAAAAAAGAATCCTCGAAGCAGTCCAACATGATTAAAAAAAACAAAAGGAAAATCCTACCTGATTAACTAAATATTGAAAGGTCGTACAAAAAATCCTTTTTCATATAAAGTGCAGGAACAGCAACAAGATCAGAGGAACATTAAGCAATGATATAACATCCTTTTTTCCCCATAGGAAAATCAATTCTATTTAAAAGCACAGTTTAAATTGCATGTGAAAATAAAAACAGTTCAAATCTAAATGATCTTACCATCTGATGGGGATACACGATAAGTTGGTAATACCCAATTGTTTTCGTAGCATGCATCATCCAGATCCTGCCAAGTTGACAGTGTTATAAGAATGTATAAGAAATCAAATCTGTAAGCTTCTAATTTGTAACTTCTATATCTAAATCTGAATAAAAATGAGTGGGGATTTCATAGAAGAGCTAAAGACCCCTATAATGAAAACCAACTTGCACAAGGTTCCAAAGCATATGGTTCAATAATAATTCGAACCGATGATGTCTTCATCCAAATACGATAGATCAGTGGCTTGTTAACGCAGATGAAGACCAAGAGTTCATTGGTAAATTGTAAGATATATCGCACAGCAGTTCCAATGCTCAGATATTCTGGAACAATCATCAACAAAGGAAACAAAATAAGAGAAGCCCAACATGCTTTTATCTCTAGAGGCACACCAAGACCAAACAGAAACAGCCAAAAACCTAGAAATTTCAGCATCCTAGTCCACATTCAGCAAGAAAAAAGGAAAGCCTTATAAACCGTTAGTAACCGATGCCCTGAAATATAAGTGTATCCCATAAGAAGTCAACTACCTCCTCACTTTTACCCTAAAAGGTTCTGCTATTTCTCCCTAACCAGGCTACCCAAAATTGCCAAAGCTCCATAATCCTGCAAAACTTTTTCCTTTTCCCTCTACCAAAAGCAACAAAAGGTCTGAACGAATGGGAAAACACCCAATGAATAACCCAAGAAACTTCTTATACTTCTTTTGAAGCCAACTCTTAAAATTTGTTTTGTAGGATGCAAAATAATAGAACCTTGAAGATGTCTCAAATGGCATTCTGATAGACCTTCAATTCTCAATTGGCATAAGCAATGAGAAGAAAATACAATCCAATAGGGGAACTTGCCTGGCATGGATTTTGCTCTTTGAGAATGGCCTCTGACAACCTCTTCCTCTTGCTACTTTGGGGGAGTTGGTCTTCAAGCAGTCGATGAGTCCTTCCACTTCTTACACAGACATCATTACAACCTTCTATAATGGACTCTACCTTTAGTGCCAAGTCATCTTCACCACCTATTGTAGTAAAAAAATTGATATGGAAGTATACGTCAAGTACTGTACAACCATTGCGCAAGAGCCCTTACCTCTAAATATGTAGGGATAGACTCCAGCACTTGCGATTCCAAGTCTTTACCAATAAATATATACGTATGAAAAAACACTGCTCAAGACAATAGTGTTTCACCATGTGCACAACGTGTGCTAAGTATTAAGTTCAAACAAGGGACACATAATTTCAAACTTCTACACTTTTCAGTTTTGGTAATCTCCCCAACTATAAAATGCTTTTACCTAGCTTTTTTACTTCTGATCATAAGAAGCATTAGAAGGTTGTTAGGCTTCATTTATCACCACTTATGCTTCATTTTTCAATTAGCCTATTACGGTTTGATTTTTTAATCAAAGGTTGGATTCTAATACTTGAGATTGTTTTCCAAATTCTGGTAACCTGCGTACGATAAATGGCCAAGACTGAGTGGAGAGTCTTTAAATTTCACAATATCTTTTTTTAGGAGTCCACGAACTATATAGTCTAACATAATCCGAAGTGAGGCCACTAACAGTTTTACCACTAACAGTTTTTTGCATTGGCTTTGATTATTTTGTCTAATAAGTAGGAGGTACAACTATTTTACATATTGAGTTTATGCAGTGGCGCCACGAGCTGCCTTGTTTTAATAATATTTTCTTAAAATGAAAGTTATAAACAGATGAATTTGATTGAGTTAGGTTGTTTTCTTTGCTTAAATAGATACAATACCACAAATTAGTTTCTTAGTTTGATATGTCAAACATAACTTAAACAATAAAAAATACAGAAACAATAAAAATTAGGTTCCATGCATCAAACAGGTTTCAAACTAGTTCGTAAGAAAAAAAAAAAAAAAGGTACAACCACAAGGTCAGCATTGAGTCACTGATCATCTTTTGGTACTCTGCAGATGCAGGGCACTTACATTTAGATTCTAACTCGCTACTTAAGGCAGTATTCAAGACTTCTAAATTATGGTCATTTCAACATACTTGGCACACCGCAATTCCAGCATATAGGAAATAGTAGTCTTATAATGGACGAGAATTCAAGGAACAATTCAGATTCTCATCATGGAAGAACTAACAATTAAAAACAGTACAACTCAAAAATCAGTTTATGGCATCAGTTTTTACTCTCCCACCTGCCACCATTATGAATGCACTTAACTTGGTGGGGTTACGAGACAAGAAGCTTATCCAGTTTAAGATCTTGTTGTGATTGGACTTTCTCGTATACTTTGTACATTTGAGTGTAAACATGTAAAATAGAAAAGTTTAAGAGAAAAAATCAGGCAGAAAGGAGGATAAATAAATAACCAAAATAGAATAACTTGAAAGAAAATAATACCATTTAAAATTGTCTGGATTTTTTTATCACACTGAGCAATCTCATCCTCAATATTCCGCTGCTGAATAGACTGCGTGGATGAGCAAATGAGTCTAAAAAGAACAAGTTCATTTTAAATATAAAAAATATAAAAACTAGTAAAGCAAATATGTTACAGCAGAAGGATGTAAAATTTAACCATTCGATAGGTCCACAAACAGAGTCTCGTGTATTTAACCATTCTAATTGTTGAGGGACTGACTGGTATACAACAATTTGAACTTTGAAGGATGTAAAATTGCAAACAAAATTGCACCATCTCAATTTGGTATATCTGATTGGGATATAGCAACTTTACTGGCGCCAAACCACTAATGCACATGTGCTCAGGCCACTCCCAGTTACCTTATCTATAGAAGACATGAGTCAACTGTACATTAGACTAATTCCATCCAACAATCTCTGAATGGACATTCATACTTATGCGTTTGATTATCTAGAAGGAACTCATCCTAATAGTAATTAGATCAGGACGCCAAGGTAATTATGGAAAGAAAAAAAAGTATTACCAGGTCATCCCTTTTTTTCATAAGAACTTTCAAAGCAGTTTGTGACAAGATGTTTTCTTTAGAAGCTATAGCAATCTGAAGCTTGTAAAGATCTTCAGAACTTGATTGAGGGCTGACAATGGCAGGACCATCTATACCATCTTGATCTGATGAGTCAATGGAACAGATCTTTCCAGCAACAATTTTTTTAGCTCCACAGTCAGTAATGAATGGCCTTGTTTTTGAGTTCACCACCTTGACCTGCCCACCAGGCAACAGGCTATCAGATGATATAGAAATAATTTTAAAGAATCTAATTATGTTAAGTACAAACTCTAAAGATTCTAGGCCTAATGAAACAAAAGAACTGATCTGCACTTGAAATTTAAGCATAAAAGTGTGCTCGAGTACCTTAACATATGACACTTTTTTATGAAATGTTTAATCTGACATGTAATAAGTGAAGTACTTGAGATGTAATAAGTGAAAAAAACCAACAACCACAGATTTGCAAACCTCAACCTACATTTGGTAAGCCCCATTAATTTTTTTCTAAGCACAAGTATGTACCTAGAAATCACAGGGAACTACAGACTCACATATGAGATGTAGAGAAGGAAAAATGTTGAAGTGGGTAAAGAAGTCTAAACTTTTACATTAACATTACTTGCTGAGCAATTTAATCCATTTTCATTACAGGATGTCATGTTGGAAACTTGAATGGTGCTTAATATATTCTTGCAGGGTTCTCTATTTTGTGAGGGAACCATGGGAGAGTCATCTACCTCAATTTTCTGAGGCCCATTGAAAGCATCAGCCAAACTTGTCTTGCAACATCCAGTGGTATCTTTCTGCTCCCTTGATTGAGGTTTAGATCTGGGTGTATCTTTTTCAAGATTCTCTGTATGGTGTTTGACAACTTGAATGGTGCTTGAAATATTCTTACAACTCTGTTCATTCTGCAAGGGGACCATGGAAGAGTCATCCACTTCCATTTTCTGTGGCCCGTTGAAGGCATCAGCCAAACTTGTCTTGCAACATCCACTTGTATCTTTCTGCTTCCATGATTGAGGATTAGAACCAGTTGTGTTTTCAACATTCTCTATCATGATACCTTTTTCATGAGACTTGTCTCGGCTTTTATCAAGTTCTGGCTTGCAAGGTGTTTCAACCCTATCAGGGCTGTTTACAGTTATATTTTCCTCATCTAGCCTTGAATCTTGCAAACCATTTGAGGATTCTCTCCTGCAAGTGAGAAAACCACATGTTAGGTAAATAAAAGACAATTTGGAGACATTAAATCAGTATTCAAGCAGTGCTGCTAAATGAAATCAAATAGAAAGCACAGGGAAAAACTTCCCACATTCCTATAATCCCAATAATGAATAGAGGACCAAAAAAGTTCCTATGGCTAAAGTCACCATTTATTTGTTCAATGTTTCTATAAAAGTTCATAAAACAATGAGTTTCAACACTGGCCTCGAGTGTTTTGGCAATGTTACCAAAGATAGAAAACACTGAGGTTTGTTTGTTTCTATGGCCAACGCTAAAGACACATCACAAAATAAGGACATGATGAGCTAACGAATCTCATATTCCAGCATGTCGAAAAAGGTGTTACCGAAGTTATGTGATACTGTGTCATGGCAGGGTAGCTAATAGCTAAGACCTGACAAATGGGTTCAAAACCCACAATCATAAAAACGAGCCTTGCAAATGGGGTAGGTCAAGTGTTAATCTTAAAAGAGTAAATATATAATAATAATAATAATAAATTACAAGGATTAAGATTAGTACGATTCTTTGCATCTTACAGTACCAAAATCTGATGTAATACCCATTGACATTTGTTTTGGAAAAAATAAACCTCAGCCAAATACTCTTTATCCTGAAGAATGTTTCAATCAAGCATAAGAGGCAATAATAGAATCATGTAATAAAGAGGATGTCCAAGGATTATAATTACTAGTACTGCAGCTAGAAATCTGCATCGAAGATACAAAAACTACTATGCACAATTATTGTGTTTCTAATTAGACAAAAAGAAAAAAAACTACAAAATATCAAGAAAGTAAATAGCACACCTAGAAAACCAGTCTAACAAAATCCCAGCATAAGGAAGCACATGGAAGTACTCGACGACTGGCGTAACTGTCCAACTGCTGGAACTCTTTATGACCAGAGGACCCTGCAGACTACTCGAAAAGCAAGGATATGATGTTAGCATAAAAATTAAAACAGTGGATAGCAGTAATATGATAAATAATTACTGTTCATCACTCAAAAAACAAACCATATTATTTTCAAACCCAACCCATTTCCTGACACTTTCGAACTTACATTAAGAAATATGTTTAAAACATGTAATATAATATCCAATAGAGCACAACATTAAAACGATCTAACGAATAACACAAAGTATAACGCACCCTTAATCCGACCACGCTTTCCACCTTAACCCCTCAAAGCACCAAAAAAAGAAACAATAAATCATAATAAAACTCATCCAAACAAAGAAGTCTCTTTCTACAACCATACCTGTCAATAACATCTTGAATAGGAATTTGAATGATCTTCTCACTGACTGTTTTGGTGCATTGAATTATAAAGAAGCAAACAGCCGCCTTTTCTTTACTCACAGAAAATACAACATGGCTTTCCAAAACCAGAAGATCTGTTTGATTAATACCTATTCCATTCACAAGAATCATATTTATGTGTCAGCTAGTCTGTTAGACAATTGGAAGCAGAAAAAGGTCCTAGAACACAAGGATTTGGATACTTAGACACAGCAAATTACAGTAATTAAATTTGTAATGCATGAACCTTGAAAAAGTTCGACCAAAAAAAAAAAAAAAAGAACCTTGAAAAAGATTTTCAAGTTCAAGAATAATTTGCTTGATTCTCTGTGTCAGGATCAGCAAAACAAAAGGCAGAAGAGATCAGGAACTGTTGGACTCAATACATCTCGAAAAGTAGTATATAAGGAAATTTGCATACCTGCAGCTTCACTAACTGCTGAATATGCAAGTTTCCGGAAGCTAGCTCCATCAGTCCTTGATTCAACTCTTGAAGGTTTTCCAGTGACTCTTTTGTTTCTGTTTGCATGTTTTGCGTCCGTTTGATCTTCTGAACTGTGCACTGCGACATCTAAATCTTTTTCAATCACCGACCAAACCCCCTGGGTAATGAGACTGAATAGCAATAAGCAGTTCTCCTTCTTGGGGTCAACCAAAAAGACGGTAACTTTAGAAATTGGCCATCCCTCTGTATTTGGAACATCCTTTGATGCATCCAACCTTAAAGACATGTTGCATGCATCCATGATTGTTTTTTCTGTCACTGAGAGTTGTTTCTCCAGGTCTTCCAACTCAGTATCACTGGGCTTTTGCATGAATTTCATATGAGGCAGCAGGGCTGGTTTCAGAACCAAAACCAACTTGCAAAACGAATCGAAGTTCAAAACTTCTAGATCCGGGCATTGCTTTCGGTGATAGTAGTTGTATAGTAACACAACGGCATGAACCTAAGGGTAAGGGAAACCAATTTCACAAGCAAAGCAAATAGTTAAAAGAAATTTAGAGAAATGAAGACTTAATAAAGGAAAATTGAGTTAAAATAAAAACACTGAAGGACAATGTTTTCCTCCTACCCAAGAAGACACCCATCCTTGCAAATCACTTTTTAACACATATGCAAAAATAATTTATTAAAAGAACACAAAGATGAAAACTTTTGCAAACATATCAAACTGTGGTTGGCAAGAAACTAGTCCTACTTCAAGTGGAAGGGAAGCAAAGTCCAAAACTAAATATATATGAGAATTTTATACACCATGCAAATTTTAACACAAAGCACAGGTTAAAGTTTGATTTTTTTTTAACACAAAATGCATCATGAAACGAAAAATGAACAACACCTGTTTGGCAACTGATTCTTGTTGAGACAGCGATGGGGTATCACGCAGAGAAGATCTAGGTGGAAGTATTGGGTCGACCAAGTATTCCAGAAAAGCCTTAATGGCCTCCTCAGTTGGACATACATCCGAAGCATCCATGGCCTCCACAAGTCTTTTTGAGCACCACCTACCCACACTTCGAGTTTTATATGAAACTGTGTTTCAGTTTCACACAAATTGTACGAAACGTTGGGCGAATGAGAAGTCAATTCACAACTGGGCAGTTTCCTAAATGGAATATTAGGAGTAATTGTGCAGCCCTTGGAGAAAGTACTTAGGAATGGAAAGTTCCTTAGAGCAAGTTAGCTTTTCTTAGAGCACCCACAATGGAGCTTTTTAAATTAGGGTTTTGTCCACCACCTTCCACACATTTAAAGATAAAGAAGAATCTTGGGTTATTTACTCAAAATGATCCTTAAATTTATACCTGATTTATATTTTGGTCCCTCAATTAAATTATTCATTTAAATAGTCTATCAACTTTATATTATTTGATCCATTAGTCCTATCGTTACATTTTCTATTAAATTTAGTCATGTGAGTGACACATGTTACATTTATAAGGGTAAATAAGACTTTCACCCTCGCCAGCTCAAATCCCTAGTCTCCAAGCTCACTCACACCTTGCTCAAGGTCGACATCAAGCAAAACGATGGCGTCCTCTTCTTCGGCCCCAACTCAATTCACTTCCCCATCTCCTTCTTCTCAATCGTCACAACCACCACCATTACCAGAAGTAACGGTGGGATTGTGTTGGTGAATTTGGATTTATTTTGGGATTAACTTTTTGTTTTCTTTTGTTGTTTAGAGACGTGAAGGCTTACCTAGATGACAAGCTTAGAGGCCAAGTAGCATGCAGACCCTCTCTCCTCCAAAAAGCAACTCATTTTGCATTCTCACAACCATAAGAACCCAAACACCAAACCTGACAACAATTGAAGAACCAGAAGAAGAAGGAGAAGAAGAAGATGAATGATGGAAGAGGTGTGGCAGAAACTAATAGGAAGTGAGGGGTTGAGAATGACAAGCCGTACAAGGGGATAAGGATGAGAAAGTGGGGCAAGTGGGTGGCTGAGATTCAAGAACCTAACAAGCACTCCAAAATTTGGCTCGGCTCCTACTCCACCCCCATCACTACTACTCGAGCCTACGTCATGGCCGTTTTTTACATGTGGGGCCAAAAGGTCCGATTTCTTTTCAAACTTGAAACTATAACATAACCAAACCCTCGTTCTTGATCTGATTTGCCATGCTTCATCTTCCCCCCCAACTAAATTTGGAAGATCCTAACTAACCCATTTTTATATTACTAATAATAATTACACAATCATCACCAAATCTAGTTTATCTGATTTTGTTAAGGGGGAAGAGAAGGATGACGGTCGAGAGGGACTAGGGAGAAGGAGAGAGAGAGAGAGAGAGAGAGAGAGAGAGAGGCGACTGGCTAGGGTTGGGTGGGAACTGTGTGTGGGGGTTGGGTTGGGTTGGGAAGAGAAGAGAATGAGAATGAGAAGTTTTTTTTTTTTTAAACTTGTTTTTTAAAATTTATATTTGGACTGTTTTACCCTTATATTTGACAGCAACATTGACAGAATATAACGGTAAGACCAATGGACCGAATAATATAGAGTTGATGAACGAATAATTTAATTGAGGGATCAAAATGTAAATCGGGTGTAAGTTTGAGGACCATTTGAGTAAATGACCCAAGAATCTTTCTTTTTTGTAGGACTAAGTTCTAAAGGTGTCTTTTTCTGGATTAAGTTCTAAAAGTGTCTTCTGCTTCAATGGATCTACACTATGGTATGTTAAATTTGGAATGCTATTTTTTTAAAAGGGTTTTAAGGTCTAATGGTCCTTGAATTTTGACCTAATTTGCATTTTGGTCCCTCAATTTCCAAAATTGTTCTTGTGGTACTTCAACTTTAGTTTTGTTATGATAAATGGTCATGTCGTCAGTTTTGTTAATTTTTTATGTTAAATTTGAGCATATGCATGGTACATGGTGTATCGTTGAGGGTCAAAATCGGAAATATCTTTAAATTTTATTATATATTGGGAACGTTTAGAAATAGTGTGGCTAAGAGAGATTGTGTTTGGGTTCCGGTTCTGTCGAGGAGTGCGGTTTGGGGGATTAAAATTCCTGCATCACTTTCTCTTCCCGAGATATGCGGAATCACTCTCCATATTGAGCCATTCCATTATCACGTTTTCATCTTCAATTTAAATATATTAGGGAAAAAAAGAGTGATAATTGAATAGGTGATGAAGGAGTGGCTGAAGAGAGAGAGTAACAGAGTTGCATAATTTTTACGAATTGAGGAAAGGTATGAATGCTGGAGAGAGAAGAGGAAGAAAATGGATGCATAAATAAAAAATTTATAAAAATACCATTTTGCCCCTGTATTTAACAGAAAAGATAATAAAATTGACAGCATGACCATTTGTCATAATGAAAGTGAAATAGAAAGACCACGAGAACGATTTTGGAAATTGAAAGACTAAAATGCGAATCGGGTCAAAGGTTGATCCAAAACTTCTAGTCGATAGAACTATGAATTCTTAGTTTATAGGAATATGGGAATGAGAGAAATTTTAAGGTAATTAGAGAAACAAAAAGAAGAAACTAAGGAACTGCTTTGAGTTCTACTTATCTATTACATTCAATAACTTACGTATTTATATAAGTTTTGGTTTCCAAAAATAACTAAAGTGAAAGAGTAAATAAAGTTAAACCATAAGGGGTCGTTTGGTACAGCGGACTATTATGAACTGGACTAAATCCTGGGACAGTCTTGGATTAGTTTGGATTGGCCTAAGCTGGATTAAGTATTGACCTACGTTTGGTGCTGCGTCGGACTAAAAAGCTAGATTGTAAAAATAATGAAGACCTATGTTTGGTGTTGTGTCGGACTAAAAAATAATTATTTAAATATTTAAATATAATAATTTTTAGATAATTAAATATAATTTAATAAGATCTTAAAACTATGAATATACTTTCTAGATACCAAATTTACATGTAGATGTCAAAGTCAGAATTTCTCCAAAAAGTCATAACAAATCAACAAAGAAAGCATTCCAAAAATGCCATCAACCTCATTCATAGCAAGTTGGACCATGAAATTAAATTTGGCACCATGAGATACATGAAAAATTTAGAAATTTGGTCTTGCATCTATTTATTACAAAACAGGGGACAAGTTATCTAATAGATAAGCTAGACTACTCAACACAACCGCAAACAAGACTAAAATTTGGCATGTTTTGGTGACAAACCAATGACTAAGCATGTCATTGGTCCTTCAATGAAGCAACTCTTGAGAAACTCATCACTACCTTTGTCTCGAATGCCCATGTGGTAGCCTAAATCAAAATCAAGAATTGCATTACCACCCCATTGCATAACCCAACTGAGTGCCACATTTTAGCGAACAGTTGAAGTGCATATTGTGCTATGGACTCATGCACAACACCAGAAGCATTAAGCCCCCAAACCCAATTCTTCAAAGATTGAAACCAGTTAATCTTATGAACAAAACCAATGGACTTTGACCCAGCAATAATGACAACAAAATAAGACAAAGAAACAAGCAAACCTTTTGTGCATTTGGGTTTAGGAATCTGTGATGTTGCTGATATCCACGATTGAAAAACCACAAAGCCCACTTCAAGTACAAACAGATTCATTCAATTGGTTGATGACCATGCTGTTCACAACATTCATCAGCTCTGTAATTTCAGGTGGCCTGAAAGCATCATCAGAAACAAGAACCACATGGATGGCGCCCTCAGAATGGAGAAATATTTCAATTGCTTATCACTCCTGCAATCAAATCCGTTGTGAAGGTCAATGGCAGAATTGTATGGCAAAGTCGATACATGCTACACCAAGATATCACGACACAGGTGAAGAAGAAGAAGAAACTGGTTTGTGTTGTGTTGGACTCGCTTGTTCTATTCAGCGAGAGCACTATTTTGCAAACCAATTTTTCTACATCACTATATTAGAAGGGCAAGTGAGCCTTTTTTTTTTTTTTTTTCCCGTCGGACTATATAGTCTCATTTAAGTTAGTCCATTCTCAAACCAAACATGGGTTTTAAGTATTATTTTGTCCAGTCCAGTCTAGTGAGGCCTACCAAACATGCCCTAAAAGCTATATGGTTTAAAAGCTCCTATGTACTTAAGTCATACAAAGGTGGTGGCTGGCTAAAGACCAATTCTCTTTTAAGCCACAACTTATTTGTGGATTAAATAATATAATTGATTTATATCAATTATATTATATTATATTTATTATAAGATCCTCCTGGATCATGGCTCCCCCATTTAAGAACATTGAGCTCTTGCTCAAGTTAAATGGTGAGATGTGGAAATTCTTAGGTAGCCTTGTCTCGAATATACCGCTTCAATTTGTTGGGAAGTTGCCCTTTACTACCAATACGGAAATCCTCATACTTTCCATGTCAGGTCTCACAAACCTTCTGCTCCAAGATACAATTCTCTTGCAAAGGGTCTTCTTGTTCAATTTTTAAGTCATCAACTGATGGAAGGCGAGTGTCTTCGTCGGGATCATCATCAAGTAGAGATGGCTCAAAAATCTTAATATTCTCGCCATTGATGACTAAGTACATATGCATGTATGATGGTAATTCAAGTTGAAAGGCATTATCACCCATTTGTTTGATGATCTTGAACGGTCCATAACGAATAACCAGGCCTTAAGCTTTAAAAGCATATAAAAGGGGAAAGAGGAGGGAGGGTGAAGTAGGCGAGAAGAAAAAGACTACCATTTTTAAATTAAACTTCTTTAAAATCACACAAGCACAAACACAAACAATTTCGTGATTAATAAATTAAAACTAGTAACATCGGAATGTAAATAACACACAAGAATTGTTAACCCAGAAAACCCAACAAGGGAAAAAACTGGGGGCACCAAGCCAGGAGAGATCCAATCTACTAAATAAGAAATACAAGAAAAATGAAAGAAGACTTAGCTCGTCTATCACCCATAGGCAAGTACAATCCAACCTTCCAGCAAACACCTTTTCTTTATCTCTTAGCAGCAAATTCTCTCAATAACACCAAGCTCAAGTTGCATGTAGTTTGATGTTTG